TACAATTTCATTAAACAATAAACAAGAAGTGGTTTATTGACTAGCTAGATTTTGTATTGATCAATTGATGCCTTTTGATTTATCCAAAAGGTTCTTTATTTATATAAAATAATTTATGGTTAAGTTATTACAATGTGGAATATGTTATATATGTCGGATAAATATGATATAGTGGATAATGTTGATATGTCTGAGAACTCTGCTATCTCTGTTATCTCTACAATCTATGTTGAATCACATGATCAGAATTAAGAAATTAAGGAATTAAGAATAATTCTGAGCCGTAACAATGGTAACAATATATAATTTTATAATTTTGTTAATTATTATATATATAGTAACAATAAAAAAGAATGAAATACTAAAATAAATTTATTAATAAAATATAATAAAAATATAAATTTTTTTCTTTATATAAAAATTTTCAATTTACTAGTAATTTTTTATTTTTATATCAAAATAAAAATAATATTATATATTTTAATATATATTTTTTTCAGTTTTTTTAGATTTAATCTAATAAAGTTTTTCTAATTTGCATATAGTATATAAAATTAATAATTTTTTATAATAAAAACATATAAAAAAATTATTAACTTTATATATATAATTAGAATAATTTTGTTAAATTAAATCTTTATTTTGATATAAAATTAAAAAATATTTATTAATAAAATTAAAAACTTTTATATAAAAAAAATTTATATTTTTTATATTTTTGTTGTATTTTATTAATAAATTTGTTTTTATTTTTTTTATTGCTACTATATAATATTTTTATGAATTAAACTGAACTGAACTTTTGTTTGAGTTCAAGTCTGATTTAAAATTCAAATTAAACTTGAACTGGACTTTGACTTGAGTTCAAAAAAAATTCAAAGTTCAAACTGAACTCAAACTGAATTATTGTATAAGTTTGAATCTGATTTGAGTTCAATTAAATTAGTATATAATATTATATACTAATTTGTAACCCTAAGTAAGAGCTAAATTTTAATTATAAATGCTAATTATACTAATTATATTATTTAGTAAGAATTAAAAGTTTATTTAATAATAACTAAATTATTTTTATTTTATTTTTATTATTATTAAATTTTATTACAAATTCTATATATCTTTTTGAATAATCATTATTAATAATAACTATCTTATATCAAATTATAGCTCTTATTTCTGATCACAACTTTACTTATAATCATAATTTATTATTACTATAACAAAATAAATATTTATTATAAAATAACTAAAATGAATTAAAATTATAAATATCTTTTTGAATAACCATTTTCAATATCAATTATTTTGTAACTCTAATTCTAATTTATAATTTTACTTAGAAGCTTATTGAACATTTATTTGAACTCAAACTAGATTTTTGATCAGATTCAAAATTTGAACCAACTTGAATTAGACTTTTAATTGGATTCAAATTTTTGAACCAGACTTTTGATCAGGTTCAAACCAAACCAGACTTTTTTTCAGAACACTAATACTATATATATACCAACCAGAAATTTAATAAAAATTGAAATATTTCTTTATAATGAAATTTTTATTTTATTTGTAAATATTAATATATGTTTTTAAATTTAATTTCAAGAATATTTTTGATTGTAAAGTTTGATTATACAAATATTTTATAATTAAATTTTAATTTTAATTTTAATTATAAAGTTTGTATAATCAACTTTACAATAAAAAATATTCTTGAAATTAAATTTAAAAACATATTAAAATACAGCTTCTTGACTTTAGTTTAATATAAAAATAAAAAATATTTACTAATAAACATACAAATTTCATTATAGAGAAATTTAAATTTATTATTTTGATATAAAATAAAAAATATTTATTAAAAGAAAAACCCACATTTTATTAATAAATTTTGACACTGTTGCATTTTTTCGATAATCGGATACCCATTAAAGATATGACCGATTCGAAGCAACCGAGCACTCTAAGTTCCATGTGTGGCTCTTTGACAAGCAAAGACCTTCATGCTTCTTTTTGCTTTTTCTTATAAGAAGTTTTTTCAAAATGCTTCGTTAAAAACCGAGATCGCTATATAAAGGGCTTGTTACAAAGAGTCCTGATTGTATGCAGATTTTAAAAAAATTGTATTATGCAATGGTTTTAATAATTTATATGTGCAAAAAGTTATCTCGCCAAGTTTGATTACTCAGCTTTCACAATCTGCACATTAACGTTTAATTATGGAAGAACTTGCTCTGCATATAATGTGTGCACAAAGTCGCACGTTTTTTTTAGCTTCTCGGTGATCGTCCGCATTGTCGAATCTTCCAAAAAATCATTGTTTTATAAACAAGACAACTATTGATTTTTAGATTAGATAATACTTAGTAATCTTAACATAACAAAACGCCAAATTATCTAAAGAAAAATGTCTGATATCACTAAGTGTACTTGGTCTCTTGGAACAAAGATTCCTACTCCACATAATCACCAGAAATCGTAAGTTAAGCTATCCATAAGCTTTTTCTTTGTCGGTTACTATAAACTTCATATTGAGTGATTGATAGACAAAAATGAATCTAAAAAGTCTCCCAGAACCGCCAATTCTAGATACGATTCTCGATCACATTGGTAACACGCCATTAGTGAGAATCAATAGTATTACCAAATCAGAAGGGATAGAATGCGAAATTCGTGAGTTCGACGCGAATTGATTCATTTCTCGTTCTTTATGCATGTGTACATTATAAAATTCAATTGTGATTAGTGGCCAAATGCGAGTATTTTAATGCGGGCGGATCTGTAAAAGATCGGATTGCTAAACGTATGATCGAGGAAGCCGAAAAAGAGGGACGTATTAAGCCAGGATATACAATTATTGAACCAACATCGGGAAATACTGGTATAGTATCATTTTAAGAAATCTGATCTATTTGATGGGTATTTACGAATTGATATTTTATTTATTACGGATTGTAGGTATTGGTCTTGCATTGGCTGCTGCCATCAAAGGGTATCGGACCATTATTACCTTACCCGAAAAGATGAGCCAAGAAAAGGTGCGATTAATTTGATATACATACATCGTTAATGTTGTGCATTAAGAAAAAATGTACACGGCAAAAAATCTATTATTAGGTGGATGTTCTCAAAGCATTAGGTGCAGAAATTGTTCGTACACCAACAGAAGCCGCATGGGATGCTCCCGAATCTCACATCGGGGTTGCCAATCGACTGAACAGGGAAATCCCAAACTCTGTGATTCTCAATCAATACAGCAACCCGTATAACCCAATTGCACATTACGATCACACCGCAGAGGAAATTTTGAGTGCGTGTGAGGGGAAAATCGATGTCCTTGTTGCCGGTGCTGGTACCGGTGGCACGGTTTCAGGTATAGCTAAAAAATTTAAGGAACGAATTTCTAATGTGCACATTGTCGCTGCGGATCCGGAAGGGTCATTATTAGCTGATCCTACCAATCCGACTCAAGAAATTGTTTCGTATAAAGTAAGTGGATTAATCAATCAATTACTGGTATTTCGTTGAATAATTCGATTAACACAGATTATTGTTTTATTTTGATATAGGTTGAAGGCATAGGATATGACTTTGTTCCTACTTCGCTTGATAGATCAATTGTCGATCAGTGGATTAAAACGGGCGACAAGGATTCCTTTATTATGGCAAGACGTCTTATTCGCGAAGAAGGTTTGCTATGTGGAGGCTCATCAGGCTCAGCAATGTGGGCTGCTCTTCAAGTCGCTAAAACATTAAAAAAGGGTCAACGAATAGTTGTCATACTGCCCGACACTGTGCGTAACTATATGACAAAATTCTTGAACGAAAATTGGATGAAAGAAAACGGTTTTTTGGACGATGCCACCAAAAAAGAACAAAAAGCAAAAGTAGAACAATGGGGTGGTGCAACAATAAAAGACTTGAATCTGAAACTGGCAATAACAATCGATTCACAATCCACGTGTCATGAAGCGATCGACATTCTTGAAAGGAACGGGTTCGACCAACTGCCAGTTGTTGACGAGGGATCTAAAAACAAACTTGTGGGTTTGGTCACGCTCGGAAATCTGTTATCGCGAATATCGAGCGGTCGTGCGACCTCAAAATCACCTGTCGCTGATGTAATGTTTAGATTTGATAAACATAAACATCCATTTGAAGAGATTACAGTCGATACACCGCTTTCAAAGTTGACTACTTTCTTTGAACATAATAGTTCTGCGATTGTGACTGAACGTGATAGTGATGGTGCGTTTGTTCCGAAGCACGTTGTTACTAAAGTGGATTTGCTGTCGTATTTGATTCGGAAAGTGTGAATAGAATTTAGTGTGTATTTTATTTAGTAAATTTTCTTGTTTCTATTTTTATTAGTTTTTCTAAATAATATCGTGAACTTGAATTCAACTAAACAAACAAACAAATGAATGAGTGAATAATTGATTAACTAAAGATTCTTAATCCATTTACTCCTTTCTCTATCGAAGAAGCATCTTTTGTTTCGACTGCGTTTAATTTAACTGTTTCTTTTTCGGGATTAAATATTGCGTTGTTACTGTTGATGTTATACTTTTTGCCTAGTAAAGACGCATATAACTCATCAATCATATCCTCGTGCCAAGTTCCAGTTGGAATTGGGACCATGAAATTTTCGAGTTTTTCGTGAACGTGGTATCTGGATTTTTCAACCAGTCATTTCAGTTAATTAATTTTATTGAATGCTGCTTTAATTGGTAAAATGAATAAGAAAAAGAAATAATACCGTAATCGACGTCCTTTACTAGCTTTATTATCCACTTGTTTTTTCTTTTGTTTCGTTTGTTTTAATGCTGCCCACCGCATCCCTATTGCGATAGGATCATCTATCATAAAAAGGAATTTAAGATTCTTCTTTATCAATTACGAAAATGTTAATATTCAATCATTGCTGGAGTTGTAGACGATGTTGCTTACCAGTATCAATCATTCTATTTTCAATCAACTCCCGTAACAATTGTTGATAGAAATCGGTGTCATCGAAAATCTCAGGATCGTAATTCGACAAATGGTCGTCTTGTCCTTCAATATTCATGTTTGATGCTGAGGATACCGATCTTGACGGTTCTGTCTGTTGTTGCTACGAAATTTTTATATGATTAATAAATATTTTATTTAATTCATTCATTACTCGCTCATCTGATTCATTCAATTCATGATCAACAAAAAAACACAAACCTTTCCAAGAATTTTATAATCCCCTCTCATCAACTGCGTCCGCTTCACAAGTCTCTCGTGATCATGCAACACCTGTTCGATCTGATTATTAACGCTCTGATTGATCGCCTTAAATTTCTTATTTAGTGGGATTCCGGAGGCAATTTGTACTTTATTGTTCCATTTTTCGATGGTTTCCGTGCGAAAAGGTTTGAAATTTTCGTGTATTGTTTTTATGTCGGTCCATAAATAATCTGTGTAATTGCTATCATCGTCGTCATCGTTTCCTAGGCGACGTTTTCGACTGTTTGCTGCATGTTCTGGGAGTTTAACGCTTTCGTTATCACGACAGAGGTCCTGTGGTATCAATGAATATTATATACTTTACTTATGACCATAAAAAATAAGTAAAAATGGAAATTGATAAATCACCTTGCTCAGTTTTATTAGCGAATCGACCAATTCGCATAACTCACTTTTGGTTTCTTTGATTGCCAATTGTACTTTAGGTGACGTTACGAATAGGGGATATGTAGTATGCTAACAAATAAATGATGTAAAACGTCTAATTATATAATTAATCGTTTATCTTATCACTACACAAACTCAATATCCACCTGTGGCAAGGAATTCGATATAGTCACAGATTTCTGCAGCTTTATCCGTATGTCTAATAAATTATCCCAAAATCCCTAAGCAAGTAAAGAAATTTAGATCATCACATAAAAGATCGAGAAAATACGAGAAAACATCAATACATACAATTTGGGATTTAACATGTTGTCCTTTTGTGATGTCCGCTTTGGCACTTTGTGATATTTTTTTTAATAGGTTCCTGTAAAATTTTTTATCTAATTATAAATATTTATTGTTATAACCTTTAAGACTTAAAGCATGTATTTAAATAATAAAATTACCGTTCATCATCTTCGATTTTCTTCAATTCTTTTTGTATAGATTCGTCAGCACTAGAAGCTATTTCTTCATCGTCATCGTCATCGCCATCGTCGTCTTCATTATCATCTTCTTCATCCTCACTTTCAGATGACATTATATCTGCATCATGTTTTTCCGTATCAAACTTTGCATTTTTCACTTGTTTACTATTTGATTGATTCGGAGTCTCGAAACTTTGCTCAGAAACTTTATCCGAAAAATCATTTTCCGAATCTTCATACTCTTTTTCTTCTACTTCTTTCTCCTTATCCAAGGAATTAAACCGAATATTTGAAGAAAGATTTTTTTGATTATCATTAATGATATCATCTTCATCTTGTTCGTCTATATTCATATATTCATCCACACCTGGAATATCACTAAAAAGATCCTTTCTATTAATCTTCTTGCCCACATACTTTGGATCGTCCAATAAGTTCTGACGAAGAGAGCTTTTACTATTTAATTATTCAAAGATCGAGAATTAATACACAAATATTCTAACTCAAAAAATCACACAGTAGATCAAATCAATTGATCAATTACCCAACATCTACATAATGCTCTTTCCCCTCATTCTTATTAACATTAACACGATTACTTTTGCTTCCACCATATCCGTCATGATCATTATCATAGTCATTGGTTTGATCCAAAAACCCATTATCATGAAATGTTTCGCCGATTTCATCTGGATCATAATCTTTGTTGTTGAATAGATTATTAACATCATTGGTTAAATTGAGTTTCTTGTCTAATGTATTTTTTTCTGTCTGACTGACTGACCTATTGGCGCAGGGTTGTCAAACTCGGCGAGCTGAGCGGCAAGAGACTTCATTGTTTTGGATTTTGTAGTAGCTAATTAAAAAAAAGTTTACCCATGGATAAATCAAATTTCTAGTAGGATTCATGCGTAAAAAACAAAATTTCTTAATACCCATTTTTAATAAAATAAAGCAAATACGAATCAACGAAATTTTCAAAAAAATGTGCACGCGCATAAACACTAGTTCAAAATGTTTGCCAATCAAAATGCAAATGCACGCGTGTTGTCATATCTATTGATCGCTTCTCGAAATCGAAGTTGATTTAATATCTACAATACACGAACGATGGAAAGTAACAAGATACGCGAGGCAGTTCAGTTTCTTGCTGATGGTGATAAGGCGTAAGTTTTTCTTGAGTGTGCACTTTTCTTCCTGTCAACGGCGAGGCCCTCACACCTCTTAAATATTATACACAACTACTGGGAACCTGTTGTTGTCTCGCATGGATCAGAATTCAAAAAGGCTGGTTTAAAAAACCGGAATGGGATGTTGCTGGGTCTTATTATGAGAAGGCTGGTAAGGTTTTACTGATTCTATTTATTATATATTTATTACGAACATGTTATTTGAAGCAAACTATACTCATTATTATTATTATTATTATTATTATTATTATTATTACGAACTACCTACAGCGTCTTGTTTTAAAGCCGCACGCTCATACGAACAAGCGATTCAAGCGTATTTGAAAGCTTCGGATGCATTATTCAAATCTGACTCGTAAGCAATAATAATTCCATTATGTCATATAAAAAGTGTATATTTAGACTAAAAATGCAAAAATAAATTATTTGGTCTACAAGAATATACATGGCAGCGAAAAGCATGGAAGGAGCAGCTAACCTCGCGGCACAACAACTCAAACAACCAGAGCGTGCTGCAGAACTGTATCGACAGGCTAGCGATCTTTATCAGACACATATGACGCCGGATCGGGCTGCGGAGATGTTAGAAAAAGCCGCTAGGTGAGCTTTTAAAATAATTACACGTTATGGCATCTATGTAATCGAATACAAATATTAAGAATGGCGATGATAATGAAAGGGCTCTTGAGCCAATAGACGTAGATCAAGCAATTGATTTTTATGTGGCCGCTTGCTCGCTTTACGAGTCGGAAGATAGATCGAGATTTGCGATTGATACTTTTACTCGGACGATAGCTGTGATGACTCGTCATAAAAGGTGTATATATCTGTCCACTTGAATAATACGAATTTTTTGTTGTATTAATTAATTCATTATTAAATTTTTAGATACGATGCAGCCATAGACATATTACTCCGCCTACGGGATGTATACCATAGTACAAACAATAATTCGGGACTAAATAAAACATGTTTGAGTATCATCATCGTGTTGCTTGCAGCGAGTGACGAGATCGGGGCGAAAAGACAGTTCCAGCATTTTTGCCAGTAAATAATATATCTTCTGTTATGTGTAAAATTATACATCAAGTGAAACTCTGCTAAATCAACTTGTAAAATTGCTGTTACGTTATGGTGATACAGATATGCATTTGTACAATCAGAAGAATCAGCCATTGCAAGCATCCTACTCGACGCATTCGAACAAGGTGACCAAGAACTTCTGGAAGAAACAGTGCACCGACAAATCGTCACCTATCTCGACAACGAAATCGCTAAACTCGCACGAACACTCCAAGTTCCCGGAGACATATTGACCACCAACAATAACTCAGCATCATCAACGTTAACAGCTAAGGTCGCTAAAAAATTATCGTCGATGCAACCGCCACAGCAACAAGCGTTTCTTTGGAATCATGGCGGAGAACTGGGTGGCGGCGAAGAAAAAGAGTTCGACGAGGATGATTATGTGTCGTCGTATTTTAACGATGAGAAACTTATTGATGAGGTTAATGCTGCTGCTGCGGCTGAAACTGCTGCTATTACAACTCCTCAATCTTTTACTGAGCACAAAAATGGCGGTGATGGATCATTAATAGAGAATGTTGGTTCTGATGCTGATCCTGCTGCTGCTGCTGCTGCTCCTTATAATGTTAATGATAGTATTAGTAACAGTATACCACCACCTCCATCATCGCCTCATAATGACCAGAAACCGCTGCCTGTTAACGAATATGACGAGTACGAGCATGAGGAAGGTGGATTCTGTTGATATGAATTATATTGTATATGTATATTTAAACATCTATTTATTATTTTTTTATTCGTATAGAATTTTTGTTTTTTCTTGTATTTTTTTTAAACTAGACAAATTTATATAAATAAAATGATTCGACTATGATTCTTGCAGCACTGATAAAATTATGGCAGGTAAACTAGCGATCGACATATGGGCAGATTTGATCCTACAACTGATTTAACTCTAGCCGAAATTACCAAAGCTAAATCAGTCAAATCAGCAATAGTAATGTAACCCCGTTCATTCTCTACAGATAGATGTTTGTAAATGTTAACGTTAATAATAATCTATATTTTCTAATTTTTAATTCAAATTCAAATCCAAAATTATATAAAATACAAATAAAGAAAAAAATATAAATTAATGTTTTTTTGATTTTTTTCTTATTTTCTAATTTATTATGAAAATCATTTAAATCTATATAAAAATTATTTTGATTTAGGGAACTGCTATTCACACCATGATAAATTACTATTCGCACCATGTGGCTGTCATGGCGTAAAAAATTGTCAGTCCCGTGACCTCCGATCTGATCGGTCCACCAAATCGACCAAGGGATAGATAAGTCACCCATCTTCGCACATGATCTTTA